GATCAATCGTGGAGTCAGTCTATTTCAGCATTCTGCCTTTAGCGGCCACTCATCATAACATTGACACAGATGATTCATGGATTGATCACATAATTACATATTTTCCTGACCGTGTGGGCAAGAACGGACAGCTTTCAGTCCCCTGTTTTTCACACCATGATCTAATTTATTTATCTTATGGAATTAAACCTCCGAAATATATTCCTTCTATATTGCATTTACGCAATTTTTTCAGCCTATACATTGACCAACTAAGGAGAGATGCTGCTCTTATTGATTTTGCTCCATTGGGGGCTGCTTTTTCTATAGATGACAAAATTTACTTTTTGAACAACGCTATTTTGAATCTCTATAACGTCCATGTGCCAGTTCATCAAGTAAGACTAGCGCCCTCCTGCCCCTTGCATGACTAAGGGTGTACGAAATCGGGCATTTACGAAATACAAAAGAGTACGTACAGAAGAGAACTGGTGTAACTTTAAATTGATAAGAAACAGGTACAATCAGATGGTACGAAATGCTAAACGCCGTTACATTCATGATAACTTAAGCAATACTTCGGCCGCTGATATGTGGAAATTCTTCAAATCTCTTGGTATTACTAAGCCAATGTCATCCGATAATGGTCCTCTTAATCTGGATGATATAAATCGTCACTTTGTCTCAACTCCTACACTGGACTCTTCTGTAAAATCACGAACCATTGCTTCTATTGCTTCTATGCAACCTCTAACTATTCCTTTTTTCGAATTTTCTCATGTAACTCAAGTAGAAATAGCTAAAGTTGTATTATCTATTAATTACAAGGCTGTAGTTTGTGACGATATTAGTAAATTTATGATTATAACATTGCTTGACTTCCTTCTGCCAGCTATCACTCATGTTATTAATTACTCGTTGGACTCAGGTTAGTATCCAACATTGTGGAAAAGAGCTTGTTAACGTCCTCTCCCAAAAATATCCAATACAGAACTACCAAATCACTATCGTCCAATTTCTATTCTCCCATATCTCTCTAAAGTTCTGGAAGCCCGTGTGCATAAGCAATTATCTATATTCATAAAAAAAATATAACCTACTGAATAACTTACAGTCAGAGTTTTGCTCTGGTCACAGCACCATCACTGCACTTATTAAGATCACTGATGACATTAGAAAAGGGATGGAGGAACGGAAAGTTACAGTGATGGCGCTTGTTGACTTTTCAAATGCTTTTAACACAGTCGAAAACGATATCCTCCTATCCATTTTTTCTTACCTCAGATTCTCAACCCAAGCCTTGGAGTGGTTCACATCCTATCTTCGCGGTCATCAGCAATTGGTTAGGTCAGGGGAGCAGTTTTCTGCTTGTGCTGACGTTGAAGCTGGCGTACCGAAAGGCAGTATATTATCACCAATATTGTTTTCACTGTTTATAAACTCAATATCTAATGATTTCATTCCATCTGTACGCCGATGACCTTCAACTATATGCACAATCCAGCATCTATGATATAAATAACGCAATCAGGGAACTAAACATAAACTTAGATGCCATCCGTCACATAGATTTGGTGTTTCAGTGAACCCGTTAAAATGTAAAGCAATGGTTGTGGGTAGCTCCAGAATGTTGAGTATGATTGAATATGGAAACCTCGAACCAGTTCTATATAATGGAATTACAATTCCATTTTCTCAATACATAGTCAATTTAGGCTTACACATTGATCACTGTATGAACTGGGCAGCACAGATTTCGGAAATTAATGGTAAAGTTGTTGCCACCCTACGTTCCCTCTATCGTAGGAAAAATTTCTTACCCTTCAAAACCAAGCTTTTGCTTAATGATTTCTTATATTTACGCGAACATTGCACATGATTAAAACTACTTTTTACGGATTTTATCGCGTTTATTTTTACTTTTTATTTTTAATTCCCGACGTTTCGGGCGCTTTCCAGCACCCATGGTCACGGGGGACTGAGATGACTGACGCCCCGATGTCATTGTGAAACGTCGGGAATTAAAAATAAAAAGTAAAAATAAACGCGATAAAAATCCGTAAAAGTAGTTTTAATCACAAGCTTTTGCTTGTTAATTCCCTTATTCTTCCTATTATAGACTATGCAGATGTGTGCTATCCAAACCTTTCGCAAAATCTTCTTAACAAGTTGGAGCGCCTTCTCAACAATTGTATAAGATTTTTTTTTTTTATAGGATAGGGTGATAAACGAGCACACAGTCCACCTGATGGTAAGTGGTTGCTGTGGCCCATAGACATCTACATCTATCCTCGATTACGAATCAAAATGCAGATGCGTTGTCACCCGTGAGGACTAAGATGGAATGCCTCGTTTCCAGTAAAAAGGGTCACCGGTTCTCTACACTCACCATACGAAATACAGCAGCATTAAGCTACTATTTCACGCTGGTATTCTGTGAGAGCGTGGTCCTTCCCCGGTCGAGCCGACCCATTCGTGCTACAACTATACTACTCTCGTAATATAACTGCAGCATGGCTCTACCACGTAAACAACTCACGAAAATACGACCACATCACTCCTTTTCGTTCCAAGCTTAAATGGCTTTCTATTCATCAAAGGCGTTGCTCCAGAATTTTTCTAACTCTTTTCTCTATAGTAAATGATCCGGCGTCTCCTTCTTACCTTAAAGATAACTTCCACTTTCGGTCTTCAACTCTCGACCGTGAACCTCGTTCTTCTAACTTACTTAAGATTGATTTACCTCAGCATAGTACTGTTTTTTGTAAGTTTTCTTTTATAGTTCAGGCAATACCTCTCTGGAACGCCTTGCCCGTTAATATAAGAAAAGCATCGAATAAGTACACGTTTAAAAGACTAGTCCAGCAACACTATCTTGAGGAAAACTCCATTTGACCATTCTATTTCTATCCATATATATATTTATAAGTATATATATATATACATATACACGTATATATATATATATATATATATGTATATATATATATATATATATATATATATATATATATACGTGTGTGTGTCTGTGTGTGTGTGTGTATGTATGTGTGTGTGTGTGTGTGTGTGAGTATGTAAACCTTTCATAACTTTTGAACGTCTTGATCGATTGAGATGCGACGTTCTAAAGTTCTCAAGATCTAGATTTGGTGATTATATGAACTTATTTGGACAATTAGATTTTGAGAATTCTCAAAAATAAAAGTTTTGATAAACTGTTTTTCTGGAATAACTTTTAAAGGGCTTCACCGATCGACTACAAAAACTAATCAGCTTTTAACCTTAAAAAATGACGTCGAATGCCATCTGGAAAATAAAAATCGGTATATACGTTCGTGAGATATGGAAGGAGAAAGATTTCGAACAAAACGTTTTTTTAACATAACTTCGAGGTTTCGCGACATAGTTTGGTGAAATTTGGGGCGTTTTGAATTTAATTAGCGGGAAGTTTCAGGACTGACCTGCAGGGTCAACCAATTTTTTTTATAGATTTTCAACGAGCATACCGCTCACCTGATGGTAAGTAATTACCGCCGCCCATGAACAACTGCAACACCAGGGGAATTGCAGATGTGTTGCCGGCTTTTGAAAAAGGAGCAGGCTCTTTTCTTGTAGGTCCTTAAGTCGTATCGGTTCGGAAAATCTCTGGAGGTAGTCGATTCCACAAGAAAGTTGTGCGATTTCAGAATACCAACGCCAAATAGTAGCTTAATGCTGCTGTGTCTCGTATGGTGAGTGTAGAGAACCGGAGATCCTTTTTTACTGGAAACGAGGCATTCCATCTAAGTCCTCACGGATTACAATGCATCAGCATTTTGATTTGTAATCGAGTACAGATGTAGATATCTATGGGCCACAGCAACCACTTACCATCAGGTGGACTATGTGCTCGTTTGTCACCCTATCCTATAAAAAAAAGAAACTTTTTAATTGAAACTGGGCATTCCAACTTAGGCCTCAGGGGTGACAATGTATTATATATAAACTGAGTTTTGATACTTTATCGAAAACTGATTTAGATGTCTATGGGCTATAGTACCACATTACTTAACACCAGGTGAAGTTTGTGCTTGTTTGTCAGTCTTGTAATGTAAAAAGTACATATAAAACGCAAATAAAGCATGTATAAATAACTGCTGGTGTATTAATGACTAGCAGATAATTATGATGAAGTAGATGCCACTTGTATTATTACTACTGTAGTTATATACATTTCACTAAGACAATATACAGACTGTGCGACAAAATTTACCCGTTCTCTTTTAAAGGCTTTTTATTTAATTGCGATAAGTTTTAAAATACATTTGACAACTTCTTCAAGTGAATTTTAGTAACTATTTCACATCAGAAAGTGCAGTGTGGAATAATTACATTAACGATCGAAACCACTCACATATTCAACAGCTCTAAATGTTAGTTATATTTTTGTTTTACCACATTATTTTAGTAAAATTATTTTATTCTATATAGACCCAGAAAAAACATGTTATTTATATATAGTAAACGATAGAAAATAACAAAAATAAAAAGAAGTGAGGGTAGAGGGTAAAGTTCTAACCTCACTCGATCTAACGTTAAAGCGTAGGCAACCTGTTTTGAAGTCAGCTAATGAGACTATTTCAGCGAATATAGAATAAACATAGTTTAAATCAATTGCAAGGTTAGAATTGCACGGCTGGTTCGTATAATAGCATAAATAATAGCAATAAAATCATAAATATTTTTTTCTTTGTGTATCGCTCATAAAAATTTTGTTCAATATTTAGAATGAAAAAAATGTTGCATTATAAGCTTTTATTTATAGCGAAAAATCAACCACGGCACTTTCAAACGTTAACAAAGAGAGCGCAACGCTATAACTGGAATAGGTAAATGTTTTGTCTTTAAAGTTCATGTTATTTTTGTATTGCTACGTGTGCAAATGACTGCTTTCCACATGTAGAAATTTCGTACTTAAGGCTTTAATAGGCTCGACCGGGAAAGGACCTCGCTCTCAGAGAACACCAGTGTAAAACATCCGCTTAATGCTGCTGTGTTTTATAACCTAACTCTGAACCTCTCTCTTTGAAGCCCGATAATAACTGCTTATGAGGCAACTTCTGCAAATTAATGGTTTTTTTTTAATTCGTGAATGCTCATGAATAGTACACATTTAATTTCAGGAGCTAAGCGCTCGCCGTGAATTTCGTAAAACGCGAGCAATCCGGGTTTTTTTTATAGAATAAAGGTAATAAGCGATCATACAGTTCACTTGAAGAAGAGTAGATAATGTGACACATGTACATCTATATTTATCCTAAATAAAGATGAGAAATGCAGATGCATTGTCACCCCTGAGGACTAAGACGGATTGCCTCGATTCCAGTTCAAGCATCACGGATTATTTTGCACACAGCATTAAGCTGCTATTTTACTTTAGTATTCAGTGAGAGCGTGATCCCTCACCCGGTCTAGCCGATCCATTTATTGTATAAGTATAATGTAATTGCAACATTACTCTACAACGTATTAAACTCAGTCCCCACCGACACCAATGAAATTAAAAAATTATTAATCTCTCGGTAGAGAAATAAAACTTTGTAAGGAATCTTGCATGTCTTTTTTTATAGGATAGCGTGAAAAACGAGCACACAGTCCACCAGATGGTAAGTGTTTGCTGTGGCTTATAGACATCTACATCTGTTCTCGATTACGAATCAAAATGCAGATGCTTTGTCACTCCTGAGGACTAATATGGAATGCCTCGTTTTGAGTAAAAAGGGTCTCCGATTCCCTATACTTACCAAACTAAACACAGCAGCATGAAACTACTATTTAATGTTGTGAAAATATACTACTATTTTACGTTGGTATTCTGTGAGAGCGTATTCCTTCCCAGTTCGAGCCGATCCATACGTGCTCCAACTTTACTACTAATATAACTGCAGCATGGCTCTACCACGTATAAATCACGCTTCTGTGGATTAAGTAAATTTAGAAAATAATTATATGATGTCTCAATCATATCACCTGTGCCCGGTATGTAGATGTAAGTGTAATAAGGTTATACATTATTTTACTTTACTTTCGTAACAAACAGTACCTACGTAGGACTTTCAATATGTTTTGAGATATACAAAAAGTATTCTAGATACTATAAATATTTATTTTACATATTTTCAAAATATTCTCCATCATGCTCTATACAAAGTTCCATTCGCCTAAATCAACTCTGAAAACACTTTTGCCAGTCTTGATCTGACAGGTCGGAAATCTCTTCTCCGTAGGCAGCCACGGCTTCTTCGGTGCTTGAAAAAAAACATGTCTCTTATTTTTTTTTCTTTGTCTCTTGGGAACAAAAAGAAATCACAAGGAGCTAATTCAGTGGTGTAGTGTGCGTGATTTAGAGTTTCAACACCAGATTTCTCAATAAATGCTTTTGTTGTAAGGGAGGTTTGTAAAGAGGCATTATCGTGATGCAGCATGATTTCCCGAAGCCCAGCCTTTGGTCTTCTCTCGCGGACAGCTTGAAAAGCTTTTTGATGCAATTGTAGAATACTAATCAGAGTTGATTGATCTACAATTTTCCAGCATTCACGTCGAAAAATTTTCGCTCCGCGAAAAAAAAAAATTGTCTTTGCAGTTTTGTCAGTAACTCTCCTTCTGAGTAGACCCATACCGATGGTTGCATTTTATTTTCCGGATCGTATTGATAGATCCATGTCTCGTCACCAGTAATGATTCCTGAAACACGCCTAGATGCCCCGTTTTCAAAACGTAGACGCATTTCATGGCTCCAATCCATACGAGTCTGTTTTTTGGTTTAGAGAGCAAACGAGGGATCCATCGACAACAAAGCATCCTCACACCAAGATGTTGATGTAGGTATAAATGCTGACTGAACTAATGCTTACAATCTCTTCGATGTCCCTATATGTGATTCGTGGGTCTTCTCGCACCATCATTTCAGTAGTCCATACATTTTCTGCCGTTACTGCTGTTTGCAGGGCCCCGGTTCTTTGGTTATCTTTAAGGTTAATTTTTCCACTTTTGAATTCAGCAAACTGACTTCCCTTATCCTGATTGTAACCGTTGTAAACTTAATTGTTCGGTTAAACCAAATTTAAAATCATGATAGATCATAGCACGCAAATGTTCACGGTTCATATGCATCGTTTAAAATGAAAAGCGCGGAAAGCGTTGCAGGAAAATTAATAGAACTTTGTTTTTTTTTTTAATATTGAGCAATTGGCTTATGGTTGTTATTTATGGTTGGTAGTTCTATTTTCAAATAAATTTGCTTTTTAGAAACATATAACACGGATGCGTTCCATTTTTAAATTTCTGGCATCTCAAAACTTATTGAGTGACCTACCTAATAAATTAATATTTGGTGATAGGGATCTTTTTCTGCGCGGTCCGTCTGGGTAAGTAGTACTTTCGTCAAATAACAGTGCTTCCACTGCTGAGCTACGGTCTGAATGGTATAGATAGCTGATATAATTGCAGGGTGTGAAGAATTCTAGCTTAGCATTCAGAGCTAACAACGCATCTGTTATAATAAAAAATAAAAATATAAATTTCTTTGCAACTTTCCGCTAAACAATCAAACAAAAAACAACAAATGTTTAGCGGAAAGTTGCAAAGAAATTTATATTTTTATTTTTTATTATAATGGATTTCCGCAAAGTAACGCCTGATTCTATCAACGCATCTGTTGCCTTCTTTGTCTGAATTTGGCTACAGGTCTCCACTGACTGCAACACTTACCATCAGGTGGGCAGTTAGTTTGCTTGTCACTTCAGTTAAAAAAATATTTTCTACTGATTTTGAGTCAATTGAGTTACCGTTTCCGTTACAGCTAATTAAGGTCCATTGCTGAACATAGGCCTCCTCTATAGATTGCATTATAGGGGGGATATTTGCCATAGTTGCCACGCTAGGCAAGCGAGTTGGCAACAGAAGCTTTTATTTTTGTCGTTATTTGGAAGACTCTCCTGCCCATCTTCTGATTTGTTTCCCTCTTTCGCCTTTTACGACACTCGCGGGATGATACTGTGTAGTGGATATTCTTACACCGCCTACACACTACACTTCACGGTCTCAATTTAGTAACTTACAAAAATTCTACAAATGAAAAGATTTTTTTCTTTCACATTAATTCTGAAGGCAATATAAATGTATCAAGGAAAAACAATTTTCATATCGCATTCATAAAATAAGTCACATTCACCCCGTTTACTGAACCGTAAACTAAAACGTTCAACCATTTGTTATGTAATACACTCACTTTATATTATCTCTTCATATATCATATATTTTATAGACTGGCTTTGTACATATTTTTAATCCATAAATAAAAACTTACATGTATTGTATTTTATTTCACAGTCGACCACATCATCACACCATCCAACCACATAAAAGCCACATGGAACAAGGAGATATCAATCGGTCGAGGGCTAGGGGAAAGGGAAAGAAACTGGCTAAAGGTACGGGTGATATCGACGATCACCGCTTTTTGCGTTCGAGCTTGGAGCGGTCGGTCACGAAGTCCCAGTTGCCCCAGATGTACCCGAGAGGCTGGCTTAGATAGAATATACCTACAGGAACAGGAAGGAGCCATAGAGAAAAATACCTACAGGTATAATTTAGGTTAGCCGAATACCCCACATATCTGACACCTCGTGAGCCAGGTCCAGATATTTTGTTTGCTCATCTGTTTCGGCTTTTACGAGATTCTCTTTATACCGAATAGTAATGTCGACCTAAAATATTCTTGATTGTGCCCCATCCATTAGCACAATATCCAGCTTATTCACAAGAATAGTCCTGTTTGTTATGATGGCCCGGTCCTGGTGGACCTGGCGCGGTCATTTTCGAGTACATCTTTCAGCATGTACTTGTAATAAGGTAGTTTCCGCTCCACGAGATTGTATTTCAGAATGAGCTCCTGGTATTTTGTATTTTGTAGTGTAGAATTTTTGGTACTAATTTGTACCTCTGCTCAGATTTAAAGAGCACCCAACAACCGGAGACGACATGCCTAAGTGACTGCCTAATTGCCTAACTGCCTAATAGCCGACATGGCTAACTGCGTTGGCGATAAACTCGGCAGATGTCGACGGTGCCATCCCTTAAGATGTATTTGCGATAGTGGTTGGCCTTAATAACCTGACCCTGTACTGCACTAATAAAAGCCTCGGTTTCCTCAGATATATCAGCCAAAACATAGTCAGTGGAGAGAAAGCAATTGTGTTTCCGAAAGGCTCATGTAGAGCCTTGTAGAATCTCCCATGGAGCTCCTTCTCCATCCATAAGCTGTAGTAGTTGAAAATGCTCTGTACTACCGGGTCTAGCTTTTGCAAGTTGGCTAAGGGTAGAGGGGTTAGCCCTTTATCACAAGAAATAATGCAGCTATATTATGGTTGTAGCACGAAAGCACGTTGTGTGGTGAATGTGTGAGATTCGGAAAATCTTTTTACTAGAAACTATACATCCGGAGATTCTTTTTTTACTGGAATCGAGACATTCCATCGTAGTCCTCAGAGGTGACTATGCATATACTTTATGATACTTAATTGGCGATAAATGTAGATGTCTATGAGCCACAGCATACACTTACCATCAGGAGGTCTGTGTGCTCTTTTGTTACTCTTATTCTATAAAAAAAAAACTAGCCACAAAGTAGTTACGGAAGCCGCCCGATTCGCAATTATGCATAATGAGCGCGCTTAAAATGCCACGCCAACCATGCTTCCACGGCAAGTACAGCTTCATTACCGACGATCTCAGATAGTGCATCCTATGGGACGTCACGGTAGTGCGGACTTTTCTATTCAAGGCATTATGTTTAGCTTCAGTCCACCTAAGTATGTCAAAGGTATAAATGAAAACAGGCATGATCCAACCCTTATATAAGTGTTGTATGTTCGTTTTGTGTTAAAAAAAATCACTACAAACTAACTGTTTCATACCCGCCTCACGACACCTATGTCCTGTAACATAACCAATATCGGTATGTTTCAGCCTCGGAAAGAGTCTTTATGTTGATGGGCATCACATGTCTACCCACCACAAATAAGACACTGAGATCCATTTTGAGTGCGAGAATCAATCGTCACCTGTTCTAAAATAAATCAAGTGATGTCACGCGCCCAAATTGGATATCATGGCGGTGGTCGTAGAATCAGGAACCACTTCTTATTGACGCAGTCTTTGGCAACGTGGGTAAACGCAACCGTGGAAACTTCTCTGTGGCGTAGATAGACTACAGAATATTATACGTCACATAAATGGACAAAACTAGCCTAGTTATGATAACACCGTTACAAAGAAACAATAATAACATATATAAGTATTTGAAAGACGTAACTTAGCCGTTAAAATACTATACATCACGTAAATTAACACATCTAGCTTAGTTATTACGATCTTCGTTACAAAGAAACAATAAAAACAAATATAAATATTCAATGCGCGTGACAGGAATAACCCTTGTGATTTTGTAATAAGAATAATTAGCTTTACCAATTGAAAAAAACCTTTCCAATATCAGTTTCACAACGAATACTAAAACCTGGTGACACCTGGCATGGATGCGCACATCACGTGTCCATACGTATCTCCAGCCTTTGTGTCGTGCTTCTTCATGCGATTTGTGAAAAAGCTGCCTGTTATACCAGGTTAACCGCTCGTTTATATAAAAGCGTCGCGGCTGCACTGTGTTCACTATCCCTGCAGTATTCGCTCCAGACCGACTACGAGTAGCGCAGATCAACTGGTCGCGGAGAGCTCTGCGAGCTTGCCGGACGACGAAAGTACGATAACATCGACGCTACATCGCTTGCCCTTACGCTCCGCACTGACTATATCGCGCTCATCCAGGGAAAGGCCCACCTTTTGAGCAATTAACGTAATTAGGTGTATTGGATTCTCATTGGCGTGTTCGTCTAGACCTTTAATTTCGAGGTCATTTAAGAATGATGTTTGGTCACGATCGTTGAGATGCCTATCAATTTCCGCCTCATTATCGTCGCATTTACTGGCCGAAATTTTGGCTTCCGCTTCAGCTATGCGCGTGACAATATTATTGACCTTTTCCTCCATCGCGTTTAAGCGGTTGTTAAAATCCGCAACAGTGGAGTTCAATTTTAAAACTTCCTGTCTAAAGCTAGTCATTTCCTGACTACAGCTTCTCAT